AAAAAGAAAAAAAAAAAAGGAAAAAAAAAAAAAAAGAAAGTAAGTTCATCAATAATTTCTTAGTTGTGGGGTCAGTTAGCTCTAAAGAAAAAATTACTGTAGATCTGAACTAAAAAAAAGTTTATAAATAAACTATAAAAGATTCAAACTGATGCACAAGGAACTTAACTGCCAGACAGAACAAAGTCAAGCATTATTTAGTGCTCAACAGTCTTAAATTCGCAGTGTCTGACATCCAGGAAAGAGACCTTGTGGGGTTTCTCTGGAATGTTCTGTGTATTCAGTTACAGCTTTCCATTCTGGTTGGTGAGAATACGACTAATTCTCAGCCCGGGGTGAGCTCTGGGAACTGTTACAGCTCCCAGTAACTATTCTTTCTCCAGAAGTTCTTTGCTCAGCTTTGTAATGTTTTCATCTTACACATATGTAGATTGACTTTTAATTAAAGTCTCAAGAGGACTGGTATGCTAATTTCCAGAGCACTTTCTTCTCTGCTCCTCTGTCCACAAAATTCTAGCCTTTCTAAATAAACTAGCAGCCAGGCTTTCTTTGGTTTCTCCCTTTCTGCACTGATGTTCAGAATAGGTGTGATGTTGGGCTTACCTTGTTTGTTTCCCTTTTGTCAGGGATCACAGAGGTAGTTTTTAGCAATAAAGTTGGTGTGAATTAGATTACCAAGCAAGAGTTTATCCTATTTCTCTGAAGAATTTTTTTTTTGCCAATTTGCATATATAACCTTTTAGAGTATAGATGAAAATCAAATACTTATTTAAATTTCTAGTTGCATATTTCAATCACATGAAGGAGGGAAGGGCAGAGACAGTAGAGAAGTGAAGTCTCTGATGCTGTGAACCTCTTGGTTAGAATCTAGAGTTAGCTAATTATGTGGAATATTCAGTTCTTAAGATCTGGTAAATTTGCCTAAACCCATTTGAGTTGGGTTTTCTGTTTTATAGAATTAAAAACATCCTAACTAATAGGATATCATCTAGTGATCAATTTTGAAAGTACTGGTATTTAAATAATTTTACTATTTCTAATATAATTGGCAATTCTAATCACATTAGAATGACATTTTAAATTTATTCAGTAAATACTTGAGTCATTCATTTTATAGAAATATTTGCTATTTTCAGATAAGCATGAGTTGATACCATGTTTTTAAGTCTTTTTATTGTTACCCTCTGGAAATTTACAGCACCTCTATGAGACGGAAATGCTAGGATATAACTTTTTTATATGACAAATGTTTGAGTGACAGTTACATACAAAGTTCATTCCTCACATAGATATATAAATGATATTCTAGCATTTTGAGTTACCAGAAATGCTAGGATATAACTTTTTTATATGACAAATGTTTGAGTGACAATTACATACAAAGTTCATTCCTCACATAGATATATAAATGATATTCTAGCATTTTGAGTTACCTTTTATATTAAATGTGTCCTTATCAGGGCTGGCCCGTGGCTCACTTGGGAGAGTGTGGTGCTGATAGCACCAAGGCTGCGGGTTCTGATCCCTATATAGGGATGGCCGGTTGGCTCACTTGGCAGAGTGTGGTACTGACACCACTAAGTCAGGGGTTAGGATCCCCTTACCGGTCTTTTGAATGAATGAATGAGTACTTATCACTCATTCACTTTTTGTAAAAGACTGCTTTCACCAGACTTGTCTTTATCCAGACTTTCAGTGGTTTTCAATTTTGTTTATGATGAAGTCCAAATATTTTAGCCAATGAAAGGCCCCTAAAATTTAGCCTACACCTTTCCAACCTTATTTCCCATCATTTTCCTGTTTGGTGAGATTAATGTGTTCCCTCAATTCATGCCTTTGTTTGCTCTCTGTGGCTTGTTCTTTTCGATCCTTTCTCCATATCTAAATAGTACCTATTGTTTTTGCCCCATTTCTCATCCCACCTCTTTAGTAAGATTTTTATCAATTATCCATCATGGCTATAAGTGATCTGCCTTACAAACTGCTTTATTTTTTTGTTGTAAGAAAAATCAGGGCTGGCTGGTTAGCTCAGTTGGTTAGAGCACAGCCTTATAACTCCGAGGTCACGGGTTTGGATCCCTGTACTGGCCAGCCACCAAAAAATAAAAATTAAAAAATTTTTAAAAAAGAAAAATCAGGGCCGGCCTGGTGGTGCACTCGGTAGAGTGCGGTGCTTGGGAGTGTGGTGGTGCTCCCGCCGAGGGTTCGGATCCCATATAGAGACCAGTCCACTCACTGGTTGAGCGTGGTGCAGGCGCGACAACGAGGGTTGCAATCCCTTACCGGTCACGAAAAAGACAAAAAGGAAAAAAAAGAAGAAAAATCAAACAAAACTGAGTAAGATTCTTTCACTTCTAATTTCACCCTCTAGAGGAGAACATCTTAATAGGTCAGGTTCCTCTATATTTTTCTAAGTATATTTGACTTCTTTCGGCTACCATATTGAGAGCACAATTCTATAGCCTTAATCATATTTAAATCTGATTTTTCTTTTGGCAAGAATATTTTAAGAATGGTGGTATGTACATCATATTGCATCATGCCGAAAACACATGCTGTTTGGTGGTCTCTTTTTGTGATATTTAGATGTGTCTGTGATACCCTATACGTTTTTCACTGAATGATTTTATCAATCTCATTCTTTTAAATTGTTATAGATAGCTACATGACTGCTTATTAATATAGTAAGACAATATCTTTAAAAGGTCAGGCTCTGGAGCTAGACTGCCTGTATGACCTTTAGCAAATGAGTGCACATCTTTGTGCCTCAATTCCCTCCACTGTGAGGTGTCTTATGGAGTTGTTTCAAAAATTAAATATGTTAAGTGTTTAACACAGTGCATGGTACATAGTATGTGTCAGTAAAGGCTAGTTTTTTTTGTGTTTGTTTTGTTTTGTTTTTTGTGGCTAGTCAATATGGGGATCCCAACTTGTGACCTTGGTGTTATAAGGGCGCACTCTAATCACCTTAGCTAACTGGATGGCCCCAATGCTAGTTATTAATATATTGGTTTAGAAGATTGATTTTGCTGTTTAAGCGTGTATCATTTGTTTGCATGGAAAATGTTTTATTGGAAAGTATTTATTGCATTCTGTCTGGCAGTGAAACTAGGTCACATTATAGGTAAACAAAGTGCCATTTAAATTATAAGAAACCTCGTATGTCTCCAGTATCTATGACTTTTAGTAAGAAAAAAATTAGCAGAAAAGGAGTTTATTACACTGGAGTTTGTAGTGAAGAAAAGAAATATTGAGCGTGACTAGGTATACATCCTAGATGACAGGAAAGAAAATTGCGAAAGACAAAAATAAATGAGAGAAAAATATATAGTTGTTGCCTGGAGATGATCAGATGCTAGCTTGGTTTTTTTTAGAAAGGGGAAAGTGTAGGTTCTGGAAATTGCAAGCTGGTAAACTTATTTTTGATCTTTGGCAAATTTCTAGAAATTTCAGAAGTTTGTGAACATTTATTAAAGGAATGGAGAAATTTAAATGTGCCCACCAATAACATATTATGTCAAATTAACTTCATTTCTCTCAATACGATTGTTAGGTTGGATGAATTAGAGAAATATAGAAATGTTTTTTAATTTTAGTGTAGAATTTGACATAGTCTTTGGCCATATTTTTGGATAAGAAGTGTTTGTAAAGCATTGTTTAAATTTAGAGTAAGTAGGCATATTTGTTGTAGTTAGATTCATGGTATAGTAGATTGAAATCCAAAATAGTATTTGATTAGAGTCACAATGTCACCCTTGGGAGAGATCTTCAGAGTATTATAGTGGGATTGTCTGTATCTTGTTTCAACATTTTCATCATTGATCTGACTGAAGGTTTAGGAAGTAGGCTTATCTGCACGTAGATTATTCAAAGCTGGACGTGGATTGCTGATATCATAGAAGGCAATCAAGAATGTCTTCCTAAAACCTTACCTAATTAATCTAGTGCATTTCCATCTTTCCTTCTCTTAACACATTTTTATACTTTATATGTAATATAAATTCATAATTTAGATTGCTTCAGGAAAAAACTTGACTTTTTATTTTTGTTGTATATAGCCCTCATTATAGCATAATATCCTTAATAATACAGATGTAATAATACAAATTGAAAATTGGAACAGTCTCTGTATGAAGTATGTTTTTACTTACTCTAGGAATATGAAGCACGAACAGGGAGGATCTGTAAACCACCACCTCCATCTTCAAGACGTAAAAATTTTGAATTTGAGCCACTTTCTACCACTGCCCTGATTCTTGAGGATCGACCATCGTAAGTATTGTAGTAATCATCAGGAACACTGTTTATATTTTAAATTTTGTTTACTATTTCACTTAAATGATATAAAAAAAATGAGATATATAAAGGGATTTATATTATTAAAAAAAAAAATCCCAGTCATATATCCTAAAATTAATAGGGGGGAATATATGGTTGATGTCCAAACCATATGCATATTTTCTAGAAGTCTCTATGAGCCAATGTGTGAAACAAAATCTTGGCTCTTTATGTCTGTTTCTATTTCAGCCCACTGCTTCTTATGTTAACGTGATAGGGCAGTTATTTTTCCTTCCTTGACATTTAGTATATACTTAAGATATACTTGTCCTTACCATTATTATTAATACATTCTTAACACCCAGTTAAACATCTTAATTTCTTCCCTTACCATCTCTGCCCTTCTTTGTATTCTCCACAGTACTACTGTTCTTTAAAATACTGTCTGATTTATTATCAAACAAAACATACCTTCCCTAAAATGAAATCATTTGGTTCTGAACTCCTTTTCCCCACTTTGGTCTCTCAGTATCTAGTCTTTTTCTTTTACTGGAATTCTCTTTCCTTTGAGTGTAGTTTGCACCTTTTCCCACCTGTTGTCCCGACGAGCAAAATGAAAGAATCTGCAGCCAATAGATAGAAGTAAAATGTTTTTTAGACATTACAAGAGGAAAAAGGCTGGGCATGTTAATACATTATTTTTTATTCTGGTTGCATTCCTTCATACTCTAGAATTGTGATCCTGATACTCCTCTTTTAGGATTTGATGAATATGTTCATATTCATTTTTCCATTGTTAAAGCATTTCAGAAATTCAGTTATGAGAACAAGTCAAAGTTTTCAATTTGCTGCCAGGGAGGAAAAGGAACCAGGTCAATCCAAAGATTCCTTTCTTGGTGGAGACATTTATAGGACATATATAAGAAAAGAGTATCTGGTTAAAGATCTTTAGACTCTTTTTTTTTTTTTTTTCTTTTTTTTTTTTTTTAGAAGTAAAATGTTTTTTAGACATTACAAGAGGAAAAAGGCTGGGCATGTTAATACATTATTTTTTATTCTGGTTGCATTCCTTCATACTCTAGAATTGTGATCCTGATACTCCTCTTTTAGGATTTGATGAATATGTTCATATTCATTTTTCCATTGTTAAAGCATTTCAGAAATTCAGTTATGAGAACAAGTCAAAGTTTTCAATTTGCTGCCAGGGAGGAAAAGGAACCAGGTCAATCCAAAGATTCCTTTCTTGGTGGAGACATTTATAGGACATATATAAGAAAAGAGTATCTGGTTAAAGATCTTTAGACTCTTTTTTTTTTTTTTTTCCTTTTTGTTTTTTTTACTGACCGGTAACGGGATTGCAACCCTCGGTGTCGTGCCCGTACCGGGGACCGGCAACGGGATCGCAACCCTCGGTGTTGCGCCCGCACCGTGCTCAGCCAGTGAGCGGGAACCGGTCTCCACGTGGGATCCGAACCCTCGGCAGGAGTGCCGCCGCACTCCCAAGCGGCGCACTCTCCAGTGCGCCACCGGGCCGGCCCAAGGTCTTTAGACTCTTGACAGTCAGCTGAGAGAGTAGATAACTAAGTTCCCAGAAGAGCTTTTTTTAGCTTGTTAAAATCCATCCAAAATGGATTATGCTTTTCACTAGGAATGTTAATTTCTTCCCAGAAGGAGTTTATGAAATGCAAAAAGTTCTCTTCTAGATAGTGTTTGGGGAAAATCTTTCTTTACACCATACTCTATTTTCTATCACACCTGTCTCTTTAAGTCCTGCCCTCATGACTTTGTTCATGTTATTCCCTTCACTTGCAAGGCAGTTATTTTATTTCTAATTCTTACCCAATTATTTAAGGATTAGACTTTCTCTTTTTTATCACATCTTTGTTGACTTCTTCAACCTTCAGTGATGTCTGCTTCTCTAAACTTTAGCCTGTCAAAAAGAAAAAAATGATTTCTAAAACTGGACATTATTACTATATGTTTGGTAAGTGGTAATATATAAACGTATTTCTTTTTGCATTTTCATATATCTAAATCACTGACTCTGTGAAGCCATTGATTTGATAAACCAAAGTATAGTATGCAAAGGAATAATTGATTATCAAATATTTAGTTAAAATGTTATCTTAAAACTCTAGTAAGTGGAAAGCAGTTTGGCAGTTTGTTATAAAGGTATACCTGCACTTACCGTATGACCCAAGAATTCTACTCCTAACATAGGAAATATAAGGCTAGTTATATCTTTCTAAAGGCCTAATTATTTAAACTTAGTTGAGTTTACTATACAGAATTTGAAATATTTCTAACAAATCCAATTCCAAGAGAAATGAAAGCAAATGCCCACACAAAGACTTGATATAATATTTATGTAGCTTTATTTATAATGGTCCCAAACTGGAAACAACCCAATGTCTATCCACATGAATAAATGGAATACTACTCATCAATTAAAAGGAACACATTACTAATGCATACTATAGATGAATTTCAAAAATATACTGCTCAAAAAAAGCCAACCACAAAGGAGTCTATATATTCTTTAAAAGGTAGCACACTAATCTATAGTGAAAGAAATCAGAGACATGATTCTGTGTGGTAATTAAGTATAGAGTGCAAAGGGGTCAGAAGGAAAATGTGGAATGATGGAATTATTCCATATCTTGATTGGTGTGTTGGTTGCACAAGGTATGTGTATTTGTTAGAACTTGTCAAACTACTCTTAAAATATGTTTTTTATTTTATTGTGTATAAATTACACCTCAAAAAAGTTGATTAAAAAAAGAAAAGTCTAGTAAGTGGGTTTAACAAATAACCTAAAAATATTAGCTGGAATCTGAAAATTTTAAATATATATAAACTTACATGCATGTGACATAAATACACACACACACACAAACAATAAATATGAGCAACCTGAATTCTAATTTTCTTCTACAATGCAGAGTTCTCTTTAGCCTCTTACTTTCCTAATGTATGAGATGAGAAGGTTAGGTTAGAAATTGTATCTGGCTGTAAAAAGAAAGGAGTTCATAAGTTTACAAGTTAATCTTTTAAAAATTGGCTTTTTTTTCCAGAAATCTTCCTGCCAAATCTGTGGAAGAAGCTTTGCGTCACCGACAAGAATATGATGAGATGGTGGCTGAGGCAAAAAAACGAGGTATAAAATTTAACTCTAAATAGTATAGTTAATTTACTGACTTGAGCAGGAAGATGAAGGTGAAGTTGATCAAGTCTGTCTTCTGGTACTGAATTCTTATTTATTTGTACTATTTTTATATTTAAGTTTGTTCTTAAAGAGGAATAAAATGTTATACTAGGATCAAAGTCTTTCATAGTACTTTGCAAGTACTTTCACAAAACTAATATGAGAAATGCAACAGACTATCTATGAAGGATCTTTAAATTGTAGTCATAAAACTTGAACTTCTGCTATCTTAATTTATAAATTTACATTTTATAGTTTTTAGGTGTTTGATATTTTATAATTTAATAATTTTAACATTTTAAGATAACTTCCTATATGGCTATGAGAATATGATTTGAAACTAAAATATGTTTTTGTGACTTATGAAGTCTCTCCAGAGTCCCAGTTGTGTTATTTGGTCAGGCGCATAAATGTGTACTCTTGTGTATAAATTCACATATTTATTCATTCATTCTCTCTTCCAGCCTAAAAGATAATATGAGAATAATTTAACAGTATTTATGTACTGACCATTATTAGTTTAGGATAAACATACATTTTAAGAAAATATTAACAGCTGTATATATTTTTAGACCTATACCTTATCAACAACTGATATTTTTTTCTTTGACTTAAGTGAATGGAATATTATAATATTATATGGTTCTGCTTTATGGTACTATTTTGGAAATGAAGTTACTTCTTTATTACTAGCAGAAACATAGGAAATATAAGGCTAGTTATATCTTTCTAAAAGGCCTAATTATTTAAACTTAGTTGAGTTTACTGTACAGAATTTGAAATATTTTTAACAAATCCAATAAGTTTTTACTGACTCTTAACATTCAGTTTACTATTTGATTAACATTTAAGGTAGTTATTGATAAGTAGATGATCCTAAAAACATGATATGATGGAAGTAATATTGAACTGGATAATCAGAAGGCTACAGTTTTAATCCTTTTTGATACTGCCTGGATGTGATACTCTGAATAGGTCCAGTGTTAATCTCCTCATTTGTAAAGTGTGGGAGGCAGGCCAACTAGATCAGGGCTTTCAAGTCTCTCTTTCAATACTTTTTTTTTTTTTTTTTTAAAAGCAGTGGGACCTTCTTGCAAGAGATCTTACAGAGAATTTGAATCATAAAACACATAAAAGAATGTGGAGCTGTTTACTTGTCCTCCTGCTTGCTCTTCAAGATGGTTTCTGAGGCATATGTGAAACACAGTTTGAAAGCAGTTTGATTAGCTTATCTCTGAGGTCCTCACTGGTGCTAAAATTATATATAACTTTTGAATTATAACTTTCTTCTCTCTATATTTGAGGCATCTCTTGTTCCTAAATTGTGTATTGTTAGTACATGTGTTTATTGGGGAGATTTTTAAATTTCAATCTAATTAGTAAAGTGAAACACCATACTAAAGAGTTCATACCCCTGATTTCCAAGTGTATTGTTAGTACATGTGTTTGTTGGGGAGATTTTTAAATTTCAATCTAATTAGTAAAGTGAAACACCATACTAAAGAGTTCATATACTAGTAGTGCCATTGGCAAAATCATTTTTTAATGTCATGTGGTTTATATCAGGATATTTATGAACCCTTTGTGTGAAAAATGGGTATTAGCTGGCCACTTAGCTCAGTTGGTTAGATCATGGTGCTGATAACACCAAGGTCTGGGGTTTGATCCCTGTATTGGCCAGTAAAATAAAGAAAAAAAAAAGATTATCGATCAGTTGCAAACAGTTGCTTATTTCTTATTTGTTTGTTTGTGTTTTGGCAGCTGGCCGGTATAGGGATCCAAATCCTTGATGTTGGTGTTACAACACTGTGATCTAACCAACTGAGCTAACTGGCCACCCGTTTATTTTTTAAATAAAAAATATAGTTAATTCATAACAAATCTCACTTCACAGATTAGGTATAAATAGAAATATATGATACAGCAATCTACTTAAATGATTTTTCTGGCATTTATTCCATTTACTTTTGTAGAATAGAAGATGTTATTTTAAAATTATGTTGATTGAGTTCATTTTCTTTTTCTTTTTTCCTGTCTTTCATCCTTCCTTCCTAGTATCAGAATTGTCATTTGAGAAAACCTCTTTTGTAGAGTTAGGTAGAAGGAGAAAGGGTTGTGATCTAGCTCATTTGTACTGAAATAATTCTTACTTGTTTAAAACAGAAATTAAAGAAGCACATAAAAGAAAAAAAATAATGAAAGAACGATTTAAACAGGAAGAAAGTATTGCAAGTGCAATGGTAATTTGGATCAATGAAATACTGCCCAATTGGGAAGTAATGTAAGTAAGCAAACTTTTCCTGAATTTCAGCGTGTCTCCAAAGATCTCAAGTTTCTAATTCTGTATTTTTATTTCTTCCCAGCATGTAACTTATACTTTGGCTAACTTGTACTATTAACCTGAAAATTTCCATGTTTATCTCTATACCTTTGCTTTTATAAATCTCTCCATCTCTAAAATCTACTTCCTTTATTCTCTATGCCTGTCAAAATCTTATCCTTTGAGACCCATCTGAAGTGCTAGTTGATTCAAGAAACTTTTAATCTCCTCAGCTACCATATTTTCTTAATTCTAACGTACCGTCAATTCTAAGACGCACTATTAATGTAATAGCAGGTTTTTGGAAAGAAAATGTTAAATATGTACATTCATTGTAAGACCCATTTATTATTATTGAAATGATTTTTAAAATGCTTCTCTCATAATCAGGGAAATATGTTATATGTGATCTTTTCCTTCTGTAGATGTCCCATCATTATATTTTGAGACATCTACTTCTTGTCTTATTCTGCCTTTTATTTTTTGATAATATTTTTGTATATGCCTTATCTTTCCTCTGGACTGGAGGGTTAGGGATATCTTTTGCAATGCCTAGTGTAGGATGTACATTTGAAATTTGTTGACTATTGGCACAGTGTGACAAATATTAGGCGCTTTACATAAGTAACGGCATTTGATTCTTAAAACTTTTATGAGGTGTATGTATTTTTACTTCCATTTATCTTATAGGGAAGCTCAAAGTCACAGAGGTTAAGTGATTTGCCCAAGGTTACACAATTAGTGAATGGTTAAAGTACATTTGAACTCAGGTATTTCTGACTCTAAAGCCCATAATCTTTCAGTAGACTACTACACTATCCCTCAAAGATTAGGGCCTTACACTTAGTAGATTCTTTGTGGTTTTTTTTTTTTTTGATACTGAATTGGCTACACATTTTTATGTCCCTTTTATTATGTTTTTTCATAATTGTCCACATATTTCTGATTCTCTTATTGCATTCTTGGTATAAGTGGCATTTACAGAAGGTGATTCCTTTTAAATTACTATAGTCTGTGTTTGGGGTATTTTACATTTTGTAGGCTACTGTTGTGTGCAGGCACAAAGACGAAGTAAAGAATGCATTGAATATTCTCTATTTTCTTAAAAATCTTTTGATCACTTGGCCATAGACTAGGTAAACCATCATGCAATTAGTATTTTTGTTATAAAAAGTAACTTTTTCCTTTTTTCTCCTCCTTTAATTCTAGGCGTAGTACGAGAAGAGTTCGAGAATTGTGGTGGCAGGGATTGCCCCCTAGTGTTCGTGGGAAAGTTTGGAGTCTAGCTGTAGGAAATGAACTAAATATCACTCCTGGTTTGTATTCTATGTTCAGTTACTCCCACACATACAAATAGCCATCTCCAGAGTTACAAAGCAGATTAGTAGAGTGGTCATTTAAAAAGGCATTACTATACATAATGTCATTTTAAGAGTATGCTTTACTGCCTTCCCCACCAACTACCCCAAACTGGTATGATTTAATAAGTTACTATATTTCCTATTATATAAATAAGATTTGTGGTTTTTCCTTTAGTTTACAACTATAAATAATATTCTTGACATCCAAATATCATAAGTGTAGATAGTTTCAAAAACTTCTGGGATTCTACGTGGCAATGGATGAATAAGGAAAAGGAAAATAGTCATTGTAAAAAGGCTTCATCTTTACTCAAAAAAACATAAATATTGGGGGAAGGCTAGAAATTTCTTTTCCTACTTCTCTACTGAAACTGGTATTTTTGCCTTTTTTTCCCTAAATTAAAAAATTTTTAAGTTTAAAAAACAGAAAAATAAGTAAGAGGTCTCTCAAAAAGTTGTTGTCTTATTTTCTTAAGTTTTTTAAAACCTTGATGGATAGGAGTAAATGTAGAGCAGTTTTGTGAATTAAAAAAATTTAGATAAAATTAGGATAATGTCAAATAGAGGAAAATTAAATAGTTCACAATAAAAGGTGCTAAATCGGTCTGAGTGATAATGTTAACGCTAGACAGTGGCACCACAGAAAGGCTTAGGGACTCTAGTATAATAATAGAAATAATATATTGTTACTATTACTTCTAAAACTTTTGTTTATATGTTTATTGAAAAAAATTCAGACAATAATTATGTTCAAACCTTAAGCTTCTTCCACCCAAGCTTCTATTTTCAATCCTACTGTAAGCAGTGTTAGCAATTTGTTGTATATTTTTCCAGATCTTTTTTCTATGTACATAAAAAAGTGTGTATCTACATACAATAATTTTTAAGACTTCTCTTTTTATTTCTTTTTTTTTCACTGAAAAAGTAGTTTATTTGAAGATTATTATATGGCTTACATTCTTTCATGCTGTAATCTAGAATGTACCTCTATGTCAGTACATACAAATCTACCTCATATATACTATACCTACGTTGTTTTCCACAGTTGGGCTGTACTATAACCTATTTAACCATTTTCCTTGTGATACCCAATTCGAAGACATTTTTATGTTAAAACATCAAAATACTGGTTTTCATCCCTAAAATTAAAAGAATTAAAATGAATGTGGCTGTACTATAACCTATTTAACCATTTTCCTTATGATACCCAATTCGAAGACATTTATGTTAAAACATCAAAATACTGGTTTTCATCCCTAAAATTAAAAGAATTAAAATGAATGAGAATTACCTATGTGGGATATAACTGAAAATAATTTAGAAATATTTACCAAAAGTCTCAAAAAACATAACCTTTGACTTATTTATCATAGTTCTAAGAATTTACGTCAGTAATCAGGATTGGGTGCAAAAGTTTTTGTATAAGGATGTTCATTGCAGCAATCAATATTTCATATAATTGGATAGAATTATACCAAAAATCTAAATGTTTATATTTAGTCTTAAAAGTGATGCCAACTTTGGATGTCATGATTATATATGATTTTAAAAATCGATTTTTACAAGTATCTTGCAATGAACATGTTATTTAATTAATTAATATTATTTTGGTGGCTGGCTGGTACAGGGATCCGAGCCTGTGACCTTGGTGTTATAAGGCTGCACTGTAACCAAGTGAGCTAACTGGCCAGCCCAAACATGTTATTTTAAAAGAACTGAAAAAAAATTTAGAAGTAGAATTTAAAGGAAGAATTAAGAGTTTTAATTTAAGTTGGAAAAGATTAGACATTACATGACTTAACTGTTTTCTCCAAAGATTTCTTTTGACTTCTGTGCTTGGAACATAATAAAAGGAAATAAATGTTTTTATGTCTGAACTTTCAGTTAGGTTTAAAAAATCCTTACTATTAATGACTTTTGAACATGTTATAATTGTTTAAGTCTTAAAAATCAGTTTTGCCTATGGGTGAGGATTTGATGCTTTGTTTGCAATTTTTTTTTATTGATAACTTTGGCTTTAGAATGTGAGGTACCTTGATAACTTAGATATTAAAATATTGGTTAAGTTGGTGTTAACGTTTTGTGACACTGTAATCAAAAGTTTCTTTTAAAGCTCAAAATTCTTAAAGTTTTGTAATAGGATCATTTATTTTCACAGTAATTTTAGATTTTCTCTACTGAACATTTATGTTTTCAGGAATGGAATGGGTACTGTTCTCTTCTCTTTCATTAGTGGTGGGAATGATGCTAAATTTTGTTGAAGTAAATTTCTTTTTGATAACCTTGTTTATTTTTGAATGGCTCTAATAATTTGACTGTTGTATTTGTTTTAATGATGAAATTTATAACCACTAGAGACTAGTAGATAAGAATAAGGGCTCTAAAGTCAGTCAAATCTTGGTTCCACTATGTTTATTAGGTTTATGACCTTGGGCAAATTACTTAACATCTAGAAGTCTTAGTTTTCTTCATCTGTAAAATGGGGTAGGATTATTAGCTGTCTCAAAGGATTGTTCTAAGGTTGTTTGTGGTAATGAATATAAAATTATAGTGAAAGTGCACTTTTCTGAAAGTATATATAATATCATCATGTCGCAAAATCAGAAAGTCAGCATACTCTGAAATCAAAGTATTCTCTGTTCAAGTGTAAGGTACCATCTTTAAATCTGCTTCAAGCTCTCACTTTGTACATTCAAAATAAGTGTGACATGAGGAGCCAAGCTTGGGATTGAAGTGAGATGCAGGTGTTCTTAGCGATAAGCACTGTAAATCTTCCCTGGAGAGATGCCCTTTGCTGTTTTGATATGCATTAACACATTTCTTTTTGAATCAATTTTATGGCTTCCAAAAGTGATGGATTTGTTTGGTGAGCCTTTCTTCTCCCAAGGCAGTTTTAACATTTGGGTAGAGTAATGAAATTGACCTGTCTTAGAGCCAGTTTGAAATAAAAAAAGTATGGATTTACAATTTGATGCCTGATAACCCCAAATAGTTGTATATATAAATTTAAAATTGTATTTACCTCTTCTATCAAATTATTGATGAAGTTGGGCACAAGTAATAGGAATTTTGACGTTGATTTAAAAACTTTTTTCCCCAAACTATTAGTAGTAATGAAAAGTGAGCAGAAGAGAGAAGAGATTAGAACAGTAAGAGTCTATTTGAAGTATATCTATTCAGCTATTTAATAATGATCTAATTCTTGTCAATATAAGAATACTTGTTATGGTGCGGTCATACATAGGATACTGTGCAGTTATTTTTTTAAAAAAAATGAAAGCAGATATACTAATGTGGAACAGTCTCCCATATAACAAAGTAAGGTACAGATCAGTGCATATAATATATTGCCACTTTGTTTTTTTCTTAAAAAAGGAGTATATTTTCGTTTTTGGAAGAGCTCATGAAAGCTCTGGTAACTAGTTGCATCTGAGGGAAAGGAATATATTTTTCACTTTGTGGTATTTTGTACTGTTTGAATTTTTTAAAAACCAGGTTCATGTATTACCTTTAAAAATAAGTAAATTATTTAAAAGAATTGATTGAATCAAAAAATATTCTTGGTATTTTGGACAATATATCATTGTTGGTATTTGGGCCAGAAATATTTTTTGCTGTTCTTCTGTCATTGAAATTTACTATATTTATGTAAGATCAAATAATTGTAATGGTTAGTTAGAAAGTAAAGACAATTAAAATTTGAGAATTAAGAGAAAAATTTCAATCTTTTCTGTGTGTGGAATTTTTATGAGATCGTACATGTGGAAGTACAGTGGTAGACTCAAAAAGTGATTGAGCGTGGACTTAAATTAAAAAGATAGGGTGTAGATCCTTAGACCAAATCTGTGTGGAATATAGATAGCCTTAGATAGCAATAGCATAATGGAAAAACCAGTTTCGGCAGAGAAAGAAAGCAAGAACTAAGATTTATTGAGGGGCTATAAGGTGCTAGGAGCTTTACATAAATTTTCTTGTTTAATCATCAGTAACTCTGTGAGTAGGTGTTGTTTCAAGTTTACAGATGAAGAAAGCCAAGTTCCAGAGTGGTTAAGTAACTTTCTTGAAGTCCCACAGGTAGTAAGTGGCAGAGAATCTAGCTCTGACTGACTCCAAAAATCTTGTTTCTGATGTGCCACAATGATACTCCTTTAGCAGAAAGAAGCATCTCTTCCTGCCTCATACGTACATTCTATATTGTAGCTATTTGGATGGTCTCTCTGCAGTATTTTTATTTGCTATCTTCCTGGTTGTATAATGAATAGTTTTGGTAGAATCAATTACTCAGATTTGCCAGTTTTTTGATACTTGCTATATCAGGGATACCTGACCTATAATAAGTAAAGAGTAAAAATAAAAATATGTGAATATATTTCTTTCCTATTTTTTATGAATTTTTGTTCTTTTTTTCTCCCAGAACTTTATGAAATTTTCCTCTCAAGAGCAAAAGAACGATGGAAAAGCTTTGGTGAAACAAGTTCAGAGAATGATACAGAAGGTGTGATTTTTTGTTTTAAATAAGAATTTCAGGATGAAAATCCAGCCACTGAAGACAACAGTGTGATTTTGTATCGTGAAACAAGTTCAGAGAATGATACAGAAGGTGTGATTTTTTTTTTTAAATAAGAATTTCAGGATGAAAATCCAGCCACTGAAGACAACAGTGTGATTTTGTATCATGTGTGAGGAACTGTAGTAATTGCTTTATATACATTATCTCCTTTACTCTTAATGACCCTTTTAGTAGGTGGTATTATCCTGAATTATTTAAGAGGAAACTGAGGCTTAGAGTAGTTAAATAACTTGTAAGCAGGGAAGCTGGGAATATAACCCATGTTTTGGTGGACTCCAGTGTATAGGACTTAAATCACAAAAGTAGGGCTAATGGGATGAAGTATTTTTAGGGCAGACTCTTACCTAACTTAAAGGTAGATGATCTTCACTCCTCACTTGTGATCTCTTGTCTCTCCCCACCCACTGATTTTCATTCACTCCCTTATATATTATTTATAATTCTTATCATGTCTTATTCTTTGTTCATTTAATTCACTCATAGCCACCATCTTTTCCTCTATCCTCATCAGTTCTTTTCCTAATCGTTTTGGAGTAAACAGGAACACTTTTTCCCTATCACTGTAGTTTATTACATTGAGGTAAATTTATTCAACCATTTATTGTTCTTGAATAGTGAGGAACTGTTTTTCTGCCAGTCAACGTTTCTTTTCTATAGGTGTTCTACTTCACAGAAGCAAACCTTCTGCCAATAAGTAAAACTCTAAAAGTGAACACAGCTTCAAACAGAGAAACGGTGCATATCTCATACTGTTTTTCTAGAGTGTGTAAACAACTCTGCTAAATTATTGAAAACTTTTTTTCTGTTTTAGAAAAATGAACATTAGGGTAGGGACAATTGACTAAACAAAGTCAGAGAGAAGACTTGATTTCCAGAAGGGTTCATGTATATCATTCTGAGGCCTATTAGCTATGTCAGCTATTTGTGGGGAAACAAAGTGCAAGGAAGGTGAAGATGTAAGAAATTTTCTACTGGCAGGGCCTCAGCTGTTTCATCATTCTTTTTAAACTCGTTTTTATGAAATATTGAAATTATAAGAAATAAAATTATTATGTCTGGCCAGTTAGCTCAGTTGGTTAGAGCATAGTGTTATAATACCAAGGTCAAGGGTTTGGATCCCCATACTGGCCAGCTGCCAAATTTTTTTTTAAATTAAAAATAAATAAACAAAAAATTATATGCATTCACCTCTGAGACTTTTGTCATAAATAAATGGAGATAATTTCAATGGAAATTAATTGAATGTAATGAAGACTTTTCTAATCAGAAGCAGTGTTCCATTTAAACTGCTGTTTTTTATTTCCTGAGTGTTTACAATTTGTAGTTATCATTTAACATTTGGCCATTATCTTTTCAAGTTTTATTTCTGCCTCATCTGTCTTGCTCTCCTTCTGGGACTACACTTAGGTGTATTATAGATCATGTAACATTGTCCCACAGACTCTTACATTTTTTTTTTCTAATTAGTCTTCTCTCTCTGCTTCAGTTGAAATGGTTTTTATTGACCTTTAATCAAGTTCACTGATCCTTTCTTCTCATCTATTCAGTCTACTATTAAATCTGTTTAATGAGATTTTAGTTTCAGATATTATGCTTTGTAATTCTAGAATGCCCACTTGGTTATTTTTATACATTCTATTTCTCTGTTGAAATTCTCCGTCTTTTTGTCCTATACATTTTCCTCCATTTTGTTTAATATACTTATAACAGATAATATTCTTACTTGTATTTTAATATTGGATTATCTGCAGGTCTGCTTCTATTAGCTGGTTTTCTCCTTGATTATAAGTCACAATCTCCTGCTTCTTTGTGTAGCTAAAATTTTTAATTGTATGCCAGACATTGCATAAAAAAATAATACAGAAACTGAAGCTGATGTTTCCCCTGCAGAGGAAGCATGCTGTTTTCTTGTTAGGCTGTTGGATTAGCGGTTTATCACCTCGTTTAATCAGTAATTGAGCTAGGCCGGGGAAGGTTGCAGCTTTATATAGATTTAATTCATCTTGGGTTTCAAGTTTCTTGATGGGAAGAACTGTCCTAGTTCTATCACTGGCTTTTCCCTCCAATAATATGCTCTCCCTCGGAGGATGTGATTTGGGGTGATTTCATTATGTCTTTCCACCTCAGCCTCCTGCACTCAGCAAAAGTCCCATAGGGAAAAACCAGATATACAGTGAGGGCTCTTCCAGATTCCTATCTATCATGTCAGTTGTATTTGGCAGCAAAAATCTCCTTGGATTTCTTTTTTCCCAAGAAGAGTACCTTTATCTATGGCAAGCTCAATCCTAAGCCCATGTTCAGATGTGGCAGATGCCCGTAAGAAGAAAAACAGCCACTGGTATCCACTCACATAGGAAAGGCTCTTCTCTTTCTGAAGTTTAAATCCTCTAGATCTTTCTATATCCACAGCTCTCTGATGACTTTAAAAAAATGTGATATTTGTTTTTAATCCTCTGTAATTATTTGTTTTTTCCTAGTTGTTAACATGGAAATGATAGTCTACCTTTACCTTCTATAAAAACTGGAAGCAGAAATCCTTTACCATATAACTTTCTGATTAATGTATAGATATTTTCTTCATAAAAGAGACTCTAAGTTTTAGCAAAAGCTATGTGGCATTTCTTGAAATTTCTTGATTATTCAGCTTTTAACTTCCCTTAAATAATACATATGCTTGGGCCGGCCCGGTGGTGCCCTGGAGAGTGCGCCGCTTGGGAGTGCGGCGGCGCTCCCGCCGAGGGTTCGGATCCCATGTGGAGACCGGTTCCTGCTCACTGGCTGAGCGCGGTGCAGGCGCAACACCGAGGGTTGCGATCCTGTTACTGGTCAGTAAAAAAGACAAAAAGGAAAAAAAAAATAAAAAAAAAATAATACATATGCTAGATAATCATTCTGTTTGTACAAAATTGAACTTGTTACAGCCAGGTGATCATTTAAATTTTATCTACTTGGTAAATGCAGGTATATCTGTTGCTGATCGAGAGGCCAGTCTGGAATTAATTAAATTGGACATATCCCGTACATTTCCATCTCTCTACATCTTTCAGAAGGTGAGGGTTTCTAACCAGCTTGTAACTACTTTTTTTTTTTTTTAAGAAAAAATATTTTAATGTCCAAGGGAACAAATTCTTTAAGTGTCCAGCTATTATGTACTTTTATATTATTTTATTTTATTGTATTAAAATACTTTTTTTTGGTGGCTGGTCAGTAAGGGGATCCAAACCCTTGACTTTGGTGTTACAAAGCTGTGCTCTAACCAGCTGAGCTAACTGGCCAGCCCTCTAATGTATTTTTAAAAAGGCAAAACTATAAAAATTGGGAGCCTTTATATAAATAGTGTAAAGCTAGTAGGAAAATTTTACAGGGATTTCTGTTATTTTATTTAATTGACTAAAATACATTGCAGTTAACAAAATGTGTGATACCTTGCATATGTAGTAGGTACTTGATGAATTTTTGTTATGGTGAATTTCTTTGTTTTAGTTTTTATTCTATAAAATATTCAAATTCTTAATATTTCTGTCTAGGGCTGGCCAGTTACCTCAGTTGGTTAAAGTGTGATGTTAGAACACCAAGGTCAAGGGTTTGGATCCCTGTACTGGCCAGCCACCAAAAAATCCCCATATATATGTGTGTGTGTGTGTATATATATATATATATGTATGTATATTTTGTCTAGTAAATTGTTAAAATATAAAAGTACTCTGTCCCAAAACTTAAATCTTTTCAGAATTACTATTGAAATAGGAAAAAACTTATTTTTTTTGTACAGAGGCTGTTATGAAGTTGCTTATACTTTATGAGAAATGACTGCATTTTATCCATATTTTATATTTGGATCAAGCCTTTGTACGTGGAATTCTGCTATCTTTAGGTTGATAAAAATAAAATGAGATAAAATTTTTATCATTATCAGCACCGCACTCTCCCGAGTGAGCCACGGGCCGGCCCACAAAATTTTTATCATTAATATGGCTTAAGTTAATGTAGCCTGATGGTTTTCTTTTGCTGAAACTGTATAATATTAAGTGAAAGTTTGTATCCATCGTACTCTTATTGTACCAAATCTAGAAGTCTTTAAAATGTTTTGCAAACTACATAGTAGCTTGTATCCATCAAGTGAATTTATTTGGCTTTTGTTATTGTTCAGGATTATATCTTTTTTATTAATAATTTAGAAAACATCTTGGCAGAGAGCATTTAGAATATTTTTGACAATTATTAAATATACTAAAACTAGTCATTTAGGAAATGCTGCAGTTTACTAACATGTTATATGACAGTTAACTCAGAGAAAGCTATTTGTACAGTTTCAAATTTCAATTTTTTCTCCTAAGGGTGGCCCATATCACGATGTCTTACATAGTATTTTAGGAGCGTACACATGTTACAGACCAGATGTTGGTTATGTAAGTATTTGTTTCAGTGTTTTTCGAATATAAACATTTTATCTATTCTCTTATCAAAATATCTTATGTTGTATTAGCTCCCAAATGTCTGCATCTTTTTATTTGTTTCTTTTGAGTGGGGGTTGGTTATCACCTTACCCAGAGAGGAATCTTTCCATCTCTTGCCGGGAGCTTATGAAACTGGCTGCCAGCTTTCTAGGAGAACTGCTGGGTATTTCACCATGCAATTTGTACACTTCTATTTAATGCTTCTGCTATCAGTGTGGTATCTTCTCCTCCTCTCCCTACCCTCTCTTCCCTGATTCTGCCTCTAGAGAATAGACGTCTTACGTTCTGCCAGGTTAAGGGAAGGATAGGTATCTGTATATTCAGGATAGGCAAAGAGATTTGCTCCTTTTATAGACTTCCAATCAATCCTATTTTTAGTCCTACCTCTCAGTTTCAGAGATAGCTGATAACTTCAGTTCCTGAGTCTTTCCAAGGTTTTGTGGCTGAATTGGCTTGCTGATTATTGGCTTCTTCCTTTGCAGATATTTTGACATTTTTCACTTATTTAAATTAAAAGTTGTAAAATGCTGTTGACATCTTTTATCTACTATTGATATCCTTTTCCATTTTCTTTGTCCTCATAGCTTAATACTTGTTTTTTTCTTTACTTTCATTTTAGTTGGATTTGGGAGGGAATAAGGAAAAATGCGAGTTTTCAATTGCCCTATTTAACTGGAAGTCATAAAACCTTCATCTTCTCACCTTTGTTTTAAAAGAGGAATTTGAGGGGCCGGCCCAGTGGCGCACTGGATAGTGCGCCGCTTGGGAAGCGCGGCAGCGCTCCCGTCCGAGGGTTTGGATCCCATGTACAGACCGGTTCCAGCTCACTGGCTGAGCGAGGCGCGGGAGCAACGCCGAGGCTTGCGATCCCGTCGCCGGTCCCCGGCCCAGTACGGGGGCAACACTGAGGGTTGCGATCCGTTGCCGGACATGGAAAAAAGATAAAAAGACAAAAAAAAATAAAAATAAAAAAAAATAAAAGAGGAATTTGAGAGACCTCACTATAGGGTGGCTGTCTGGTACAGCTTACTAAAAAATAAAAAAAATAAAAGAGGAATTTGAGAGACCTCACTATAGGGTGGCTGTCTGGTACAGCTTACTTTGTTCTGTTGCACGTTCATTTGTATGTTCATTCATTCATTCATTCATTCACTCAACAAATATTTATTGTGCACTTATTACTACATGCCAGGCATTGTTCTAGATACTTGAAATACCTCAGTGAACGAAAGAGTCTTCCTTTTCTGATGCTAACAGTTTAGAAGAAGGAAACAGACAATAAACAATGAATGAGTAAATCAGGTTATATTAAAAGGTTGTAAATGCTATCAAAAAAGTATGGCATGGTAACGGGGGGAAGTGCCAGATTTGGGGTGCAGCAGGTTGTAGCATTAAAAAGGGGGTCAGATAGTTCTTATGGAAAAAGTGAGATTTGAGTAGTCTTTAAACTCTCATTCATGTATTCTGTAAGAGAATTGTAAAAACACTATGTATTTCCTTTACGTGTTTGGTATTTAAATTTTTTCATTATAAGTTTAATTTAGGATTTAATTTTTAGCTCTGGTTAAAAATTGACATTTCATATCTCTTTAAAAAATGTCTCCAATGGAATTTAAATACTATGATGATTTTATATATGTCATCATCCATTTAAAGAAAAATATATTAACAAGCTCTTCATTAATATTTTACATTTTTGCTTTTTCTCTGAACTTGTATTTCTGTTTCATTTCTCTCACAGAATTTTATTCTAATGTAATATATTTTTTGCTGAAAAGTCTTTTAGTGATCAACTTATTGTATTTCTGCTATAAATATGTAAATGAATTAAAATTTTAAAATTAGTTTTATTTCTGATGCACATAATGTTCTAAATATTAAAATTTTTTCTTCTGATTTGTGTTGTTATAATTATTAGTACACAACAGATCAAAACAACAAATATATTTGAGAAATCGGATAAAATAATAAATGCAAAAAGAAAAAATTTTTTAAAAACTTATCTCATATAACTTCTTCAATTTTATTGAAAACAGAAGACTGTTTACCACTTGGCTTATAAAACATTTTTTACCAATCATTAGAAGCATTCACTTTCTCAATTTCTAGAAACTACCAAAAGCCTTTATTGTGATTAATCAAAACATCTATTAATTATACCTGCTACACTTTCACTTAAAGGAACCTTATATAATGTGATATACTCAGAAAAATTTGGGAAAATTAAAATGCTGTTACTGTTATTACAGCTATGATAATGATATTTTTTAGAATATTATTTTTATTATATTGTATCCTTTACACATTTTTTAAATCCTGAAGCTGCAGATTTATTAGTTTATTGAATTTGTGTAAAATGGCCACCATAAACTTACCTGGTAATGTTAAGGCTCATTGGGAAACCAGTCAGCCAAATTAGACTTACTTTATAAAGATGAGATAAGAATAGTATAGACTATATTTTATGATGTGATTTGACAAAATAGATTTTTAACTAAATGAGTACTGTGCTGAATTTATAAATAAGTCATGCAGAAGTTTTATCTGTGAATTTTATTCTTGAAAAAATTGGCTAATCTTGGTTCACATTCCAGTTATATTTAAAAAGAACCACAGGCAACAATCTATACTGCTTTTGCTATTCTCTTTATTTGTTCTCCTGAGATTCTCTCTCAAGGGCTATACGTTCTTTGAAAAAAAGGTGTAGTATAGAAGAGGTGAGGTCACTAAATGAAAATTGTCATTACTTATCCCTATTCTACCATATAATGGAATTCAGTCATATATATTCATATATATGACAGGAAGCCAGAAGCTTTCCTCAAGCAATATGTAGAATTATCCTTTTGATTCACATTTCATGCTTCAGAGCAATTCACAATAGTAAGTTTTGTAATGAGTGAGGACTGTGACTTTCACCTGCTACTGTGAATCAGTGACATTCTCAGGTAGATCATGTTTAGAAAATACTATAGATGTAAATTGAGGATCTGGGAATGAATTTCCTTAAAATTATCTTTGACAGTATTCTTTTCAGACAGTCTTTATGTATTGCCAAGCTATACTTATCCCAGTGTAAGAATACTACTATTTGGACAGTGTTAGTTTTCCACTTCAATGAAGTGGTTATAGCTTGCTTTTGGGTAGAGCAGTTCTGAGTGAGTCTTGAGTGTTACTTGTCTGTAGGTCCACTTATGGAAGCTTTCCTCTTTTAATCAAGGTGGTAGCTATTATTTTGCCTATTATTTTTAGCTATTATTTTGCTATTATTTTGATTGTATCTTCTGGCACTTAAAGTGAACTGGGCCTGCACTATGGTTGAACTCTAAGATGGGTGTATCATAAAAGTGGAAAAGAGAAGACAAAGTAAGTTTCCCATAAGCTTCCCAGTATCTTAGGAAGAGTCAAACTGTAGACCAGGAATCAGATATAAGAACTGAACCATAAGAATTTTGTAACTTTTCCCACATTAATTTTTTTGTTATAGTTACTCTCCATAGTTACTATCAATAAGACACCTAAGGGCTGGCCAGTAAAAGCTCAGTTGGTTAGAGTGTGGTATTATAACACCAAGGTCAAGGGTTCACTTTCCCATACAGGCAGCTAGCTGCCAGGAAAAAAAAAAAAGACCCCTAAAATAAGAAGAAAGATACGTGTATATGTCTGCAAAGAAAATAAATAATGGGAAGATGACTTCCTCCCATGTCCTAGCCAGACATCGAGGAAGGATAAAAATTTCAAATGACAAAAAGTAGGTGCGTTACGCAGGTGCTTCAAATTGTAAAGTTTTATTTCTTGTATACATAGGTGTGGTTTTTTTGTTGTGTTTTTGTTTGTTTCCACATTATTATTTTGAACAACTTCAAACTAATAGAAAAGTTGCAGTAGATTCTGATCCAGAATCCAATCAGGGTCATATGTGGTATTTAGTTGTTATATCTCTTTAGTTTTCTTTAATCTAGAACAGTTCCTCAGCTTTTTCTGTCTATCATGACAATGACACTTTTGAAGAGTTAAGCTTGGTTGTTTGCAGAAAGACCCTCAATTTGTATTTGATTATTTTTTCACGATTAGGTTCAGGTTAAACATTTTTGGCAAGAATACTACATAAATGATGTGCCTTTTCAGTGCATCACACCATAAGTTGGTAAATAATACAAAATATTCAGAAGAATTGGACTCTGAAGAAATTGTAGAAATAACTTTGGTTTTCTTATTTTCCTTTTGTGTATGCATAAGAGTGATATATAATTAATCTGAATGAACTTTAAATAGTTTTATGAATATACATAGCATAAAAATTGTAAGTGATAAAACATTGTCATTGCTTAATTGGCAGCATTTTTCTCTCTTTTAGTGGTATGTAAAATAATATTATTTATAATAAACAGCATCTTAAATTCAGTTTAGTTTTAATCCCTTCTATTTGCTTTCTGTTACACATGGTTAACACTTTGCCCCCTTGTATCCACTCAGCAAATATTGCAATACTAAGAATACAATTGTGAACAGAAATAGCCTGGTCTCTGTATGATTCCTATTGTTGCTGTAACAAGATACCACAAATTTAGTGGCTTTAAGCAACACAAATTTATTATCTAACAGTTCTTGAGGTCAGAAGTCTGAAATAGATGTCAGTGGGTTCCAACCAAGGTGTTGGCAGGGCTGTGTTTCTTCTGGAGAATCTAAGGGGGAATCTGATTCCTAGCCTTTTCTACCTTCTAGAGTCTGCCTACATACATTCTTTGGCTCATGGCCCCCTACCTCCATCATCAGAGCAGTCCGGTGTAGTATTCATATCTCTGTCGACTCTCCTGTTTCCCTTGCTAACTTAGAAGGACCTGGTAATGATTACATTCGGCCTATCCAGATAATCCAGGATAATCTTCTCATCTCAAAATCCTTATTCACATTTGCAAAGTCCCTTTTGTCATGTTTGTTAACATTTTCACAGGTTCCAGGTATTAAGACGTGGACATCTTTGGGGGTCAGTTATTCTGTTTACTACAGTGTCTGTTTTGGTGCAATTTATATTCTAGAAAATCAAGAAGAAATGTACATTAGCTACTGATAACTCACAAGCAAACATTTATAGAGCTTAGTGTTTTATTCAAAGCCTTAGACAATATAAATACATCCTACTTTTTTCAAATGTCTTCCTTTATTCTCGTTATAAATCCTGTGCTTCAATTGGGCTGGTCCTATTTTTTCCCATTTCTGTGTCTTTGCTCATGCTTTTTCTTCATTTAAGAACGGTTTTTCCCGTTTTCCTGGAATCCAGCTCACTATCTCAATATCCACAACCACTTATTTCTTAGAATTTCATCAGCACTTCTTACAGACATCCCTTATACTCCCTCATTTTCTACTCAGATGTGTTATAACAATGAAAACAATAACCTGATTTTCATTAAACTTTGTGATTCTGTACTCTATTTCAAAGGAATTCAGACTAAGAGGAAATGAAAACTAAATAGATAGTATACTTTTGTTAGGCTTTTGTAGTAAGTAAAATCTGATACTTTTTTTTTTTTCAAAAATTTTCCCCAGTACTTTTTAAACTACATCACATGAACAAGAAATGTAAAATTAGGGAGGTTTCATAATTATTAGGAGTTCTCTGTATTTGTCTTTGCTTGGAAGAAAAAAAGAAATCTTGGTTAATACTACTTTGTAATGTCACTTTGTAAATCTTCAGGAGTATGATAAAATAAACTGCTTAGAATTATTATTGTAAGTCCACGTTGATTAATTTCTTTTCCCATTGAAGGTCCAAGGGATGTCCTTCATTGCAGCAGTCCTCATTCTCAATTTGGAAGAGGCAGATGCCTTCATTGCATTTGCAAATCTCCTGAATAAGCCATGCCAATTGGCCTTTTTTCGTGTGGATCACAGCATGGTATGAGCCATCAAAATGTATCGTGTTTTCCTTCATATATGTTTCTGTAATTTGAGTGCCCTCTTAGAATGACAAACAGTAATTAAGAGACTAAGATAATCTGATCTAATATAAACTTTTCATTGAATTATAGTTTTATGAATCCTTGATGAAAAGACTCAGAAAGAAGTGCTCAATAAAGAAGATTTTCTGTTAATGTTTAAGGGTTTAATTCATCTATTTATAGAGTATATTCTTTGATAATTTTACTGATTTTTCTCTCTGTAGATGTTGAAATATTTTGCAACATTTGAAGTATTCTTTGAAGAAAATCTCTCCAAACTATTTCTTCATTTCAAGTCTTATTGTCTTACACCAGATATATACTTGATAGACTGGTAAGTATAACATACATAACATATAATAATGAAAAGGAAATAAAGTATAACTTTTCATATGTTTTAGGAACCTAGAGTAAATCTCATGCACAGTTCATACATATAAAGAAACAGGTAGAGAAACTCCCATATTGCTATGGAGAGGCATTTGATTAAGAGTATAGACTCTGGGTTAAAATCAGAATCTCTCGGTTTGTATTTTAGTTTCTTTTTTATAAAATGAGAATAATAATGTCTATATCTTGAGTTATAGTGAGGGTGTTTTACATGGATTATCTCATTCAATGGCTAGCACATACTAAGCTCTCAGAAAGTTGCTGTTCCTTTATTATTCTAACATAGAAGGGCTTATGATACTTATGATAGTGTTTTTTTCACAAGGACTTTGTTTCAAGGCTTTATCCAGTTTTCTGACAGAGGAATGATGCCATATTTAGGTGCTAAGTTCTTTTTAATCTTTCTAATTTAAGATTTTCTATTTTAACTTAGAGGGTTTGCCTGGCAAACAGTAGACAGTTGATTATGGAATGGTGGGTGAATTTTGCCAAAGAGATGGAGAGTTGGCCTTAAGATAGGTCTAGAGTACATAAAGAATATTTAAACTTTAAATCCTAATTATTCAAAACCAGTAGGTTTCAGGTAAATGCTATTAAACTTTAATATTAATATAGATACATACATACATACATACATACATACATACATACATACATACATACATACATACATACATACATACATACATACATACATACATACATACATACATACATACATACATACATACATACATACATACATACATACATACATACATACATACATACATACATACATACATACATACATACATACATACATACATACATACATACATACATACATACATACATACATACATACATACATACATACATACATACATACATACATACATACATACATACATACATACATACATACATACATACATACATACATACATACATACATACATACATACATACATACATACATACATACATACATACATACATACATACATACATGAATGCATTGACCAAATATGTCCTCCCAGTTGTTTGGGTTTTCTTTTATTTAGGCTATTAGAAAACCTCATTTTTTAATGTATTCTCTTCCATTCCCACTGGGAACATTAGAGTTCCTCTGGGAAGGATCGAAAAGGGTGGGGAGAAGAGGGGTTTTATATCATGGGACCCAGAATACCAAGATCAAATACTAATTCTGTGAAAGTGGGGGGAACCACAATTGTCAGTCTTGAGGAGTGTGAACGTGGGGTATATCAGGATCACAACTGATAACAGGGAACAGGATGGAACTAATAATGAGCGAGTACTGTGTACTAGAAACTGTGCCTAAGCACTCCAACTTTTAACATTGAGTTGGTATTCTCTGTACTAACAAGAGTATGCTTTTTGTTACGCAATTAAATATGTGTTTATAATTTAACAAGTAGAGATGGACTTTTGTTCTGTTGAGCTTATTGTATATAAATTCCAGAATCACTTTTGTAAGAGAAGAAGGAATAAGTGGCAGTGCTAAAGATGTTTTTTTTCTTTTTTGGTGGGAGAACCTTTAGTTCCCTTTCTCAAATTCCATTGGCACTGCCTCAGATAAACACACAAACAGCACAAAAAAATTGTGTACTTTCTTTGCCAAGGCAACTTCAAGACAAAGTCCTGCAGCACCTATTCTCCCCAATTCCCCAATCAGAATGCCTCCTGAAGCACCACTGAATAAAGAATTACATGGTCAGACATTGTAAGAGAGGATGGGAAAAACCATTTTAGTGATTTTGTTGGAAGGTATACATGCTTCAAAAGAAGTGGTAAATAAAGCTTGGTGGAGGGGAAAAAACAAAACAGTGGGTGTTTGTGGAAGGGGAAGAGAAAAGAAGTAAGCCTTCATGGGTTTGTATTAAGTTACGAAAGACTATATTTGTGTTCCTCATACAATAATAATAAGTAACTTTTATTAAGTATTTCTTATGGCCAATACCGTTCTAAGCACTCTACATTTATTGACTCCTTTAATTTTCAAAACAATCCTGAGAGGTAGCTAGTATTATATTTAGTTTACTAATGAGGAAATTGAGGTACAGCCAGGATAAATATTTTGCTCAACGTAACACAACTAATAAGTGGCACATTCAAGATTCAAACTCAGGAGTTCTGTTTTCAGAGCCCATACCCTTAACCAGTAGGTTATTCTGCCACTCTAGTTTGTATCAGGCCTTACCTCTATGTAAGGTTGTAAATTAACATAATTTCATTATTTGTGACTTAATTTCTCACTAGTCAAGTTTGAGAGAAGAAGCCATATTTTATTTGCCTTTTTATCCTTCATTAAGCACTGTTTTTTCCCATTGAGATTCTTAGTGAGTGAATGAATGAATGAGTAAAAAATTTCAATGACTATTTTTTCCCTAATTTTAGGATCTTCACATTATATAGCAAATCACTACCACTTGATCTGGCCTGTCGAGTCTGGGATGTATTTTGCAGAGATGGGGAGGAATTTTTATTTAGGACTGGATTAGGTATCCTTCGATTATATGAAGATATTCTCCTACAGATGGACTTTATTCACATAGCACAATTTCTAACTAAATTGCCAGAAGATATCACATCAGAAAAGCTGTTCGGCTGTATTGCAGCCATTCAGATGCAAAATAGCACCAAAAAATGGACTCAGGTAGAGTGACGTTTTTTCTACCTTTAATAGATGTTTTAAAACATTCAGTTGAAAAACCAAAAACCAAAAACATTCAGTTGACTTCTTGTAAAAAGTTATGTTTTTCTCAAATTTAGTGCTCAAATTAAAAAATATATATCTTTTAAAAATTATTTTTGGCTTTGGAAATGCAAGTGTTTAAAATAGATTGCCTCCTTTTCACCTATTCAAACCTAGGGCTTTATTTTTATTTAAGTCCAGTAATATTTTATGTTTAGTAAAATACAACCCATAATAGTCATTATTTGCTACAGCAGTTATATAACTACTTTGGTACTTCAAATAGACAACAATTTTATTAAACACCTGCTATACAGTAAGGGTTTGCAGTAGAAAGAATATAATATATGATCCTGGCTTTTTGTGTGCTTAGTCTCGTTAGGAAAAGGAACATACTGGGAGTCAGTGATGTAAAAAAAACAAACATATTGGCAGTTAAATGACATAAAAAGAGCATTATCACTTGATCATAAGGAAACTAGGGAAGCAAACATATTGGCAGTTAAATGACATAAAAGACAGTATTACCACTTGATTTGTGAATGATACAGACAATTGGCATTATAAGTTCACAGCTTTATTGCTTATGAAAATAAAATGTGTGAATATTGGTCCAGAAAATGTTCTGTTACCAAATGATAATTACAAAATATTTGGCAATTGATGAAAATTAGAATCTAATCATATTCCATAAAATTGAGTTTTAAAAAACAAGGGGATTTGAGAATGGCAATCTTTCAGGGAATAGAGTTAAGTATACTAAAGCTTTTTTTATGTTTATAAACTTTAGTTATTTAAAACTCTTTAATCTGGGTGGTAGTTATTGAGGATTAATCTTTATTTTATGTAATTTCCAGGTCTTTGCATCTGTAATGAAAGATATTAAAGAAGGAGACAAGAACAATAGTCCTGCTCTGAAAAGCTGATCTACAAAATGAACAGGCTAATTGAAATATAAAAAATGTTTTTTTGGATAGAAGTTTTTGTTTCCTATGTAGAAAGCATGGAAGAAAATGTTAGAGAAATCTAAAAGAATCAAGAGGTGGAAAACTGCTGATTTTAAATCCCATAGCTGAAATAAACAAAATAAGTAACTTATTGGCAGTATTATATTGAAAAATATTTTATAGGTGGAGCCATTTTTCAAAGGAAAGTTTCAATGGCTAGTTCATACTCCATAATTTGGAGTGAACAGTTTAACGCAATAAATTTTTTAAATAGCTTTGGAGATACTTCAAATTTTTACATCTTTTCTTTTTTAACAATTACCACAGTGGCACTTTGGAGGTCTGAGTATGATTATTAAATACTACTTTAACCTCCAAAATACTATAGTACAGATATTATCTCCAGATCTGACCGTTTGAAGATACTACAGACCAAGAGTAAGCACTGACTGTAAATCATATAAGTCACTAAAGATGTTGTTTACCTTCATTCACAGGTTGGAGCAAATTTGGGTTTTCTGGGAAATGGAAACATTAGTGGGAGATTATTGTTTGTTTAGGTGTTTTTCCACAATATTGTGTCTATTTGTTTTTGAAGGGAAATTCTTTCTCTTCCTTAAGGAGTTCCTATCAAAGAGTTTTAGCCTCTCTGTTTCTAACAAACTGCTCATCTAGTAATTTTACATTAAGAAAACTAAAAACTGGTAGAAGGAAAGTTCTTTGCACTTTAATGGATTGAAGACTTGACTTTGAGAGTAAGTCCAAAAAAATAAATGAGGATTTTCCCTAGTAAGAATTAAAAGTAATGAATCCTGAGAGTTCAAGCATGCTACTCAGCAAGACTTTAAATTTTTTAGTTAAAATAACTCCACTGTCTGTAGAAACAAAATTTGTTAATTTCAGTTTAAAATTTGAAATCTTAATACATAGCTAAGTCCATGACTTGTAAAACACCAGGCATAATTTTTTCTAATCAGTGGAAATAAGAGTAAAATAAGAAGGTAAAATTAACTTTTTTTCTGAGTCTAACTTTGATAGCATTATGGATAAAGAAATTATTAATCATTGGTAAATTGGCATTGTTTATTACACTATATTTAATTTTTACACCTAAACTAAATCACTTTAGTATTATTAGTGATTGCTGTATAACATGCTATTTGGTTAATAATTAGATTTATAGTGTGTTTTTATGTTGCAGTTTGGTTTGAAACGACACTTAAGCACACTATTTCTATTAGTGGTATATAGTCTTTACACTAACAAGCTTGAGATCCTTGTTAATGTAGTGACTGCCTCTTTAGGAGTATGGGACCAGAGGATGCCCAAATATTTTTACCCCATGGGTCATTCTAGTTGAGGGACTACTAGTGGAACCCTCAGAAGTTAACTCCTGTCATAGGGGCTTGTTTAGTGGAAACCGGCAGTGTAATAAAATATTGAGGGAGTAGGATGACCTTTTAATTCTGGTAACTACATCCTTGGTATTGGTGTTTCTGATAGAGGGAATGTAACCTCTGGCAGTAATCTCATTGAGGTTATTCTACTTGCCTAAATTTAATCTTACTTTTATGTATTCGTTCCCTGAATTGGACCTAAGTTACTGTATTTCTTTTTCTTATTTTTTATTGTACAGTTTCTTTACCTTTCAAGTATAAATGTGTATATAAAATGTAAATACAAGGAATTCACTAAAAACCACTCATAACAATTACTGTGTAAATAAAACTCGTAAGCAGAGTAATTACTTGAAATGAGTCTTTATTACTTTGGGGATATCTGGTTTATTTAACCACATCAGGAGGAAAAAAGGAATATGCTTTTTTTTGGGGGGGGCTAATTTCTCTTCTAAGGGATGCATTATACCTTCAGTCGTGTGAGACTGACAGTACTGGCAGCTAAAATATTGTACTGTATCTTGTCTTGAACCTGGTATACAGGCAATATGTGGTTATTCACACCATCAGTGTATGGCAGTTTCTGTTTTTGTTTTCTGGTTAAAGTATATTTTATAATTAGGGGCCGGCCTGGTGGCGCACTGCTACAGTGCGCCGCTTGGGAAGCACGGTGGCGCTCCCGCCGAGGGTTCGGATCCCACATACAGACCGGCCGCTCACTGGCTGAGCGAGGTGCGGGAGCAACACCGAGGGTTGCGATCTTGTAGCCGGTCCCGGTCCGTTACGGGCGCGACACTGAGGGTTGCGATCCGTTGCCGGGCACGAAAAAAGACAAAAAAAAGGAGAAAAAAAAAAAAAAGTATATTTTATAATTAAAAAATAACTTTTCCTAAAATCTCAATATATAAAATTTAATATGGTATTTCATTTGTCTACTTGATATATATATTTTTCACTTTATTGTTCCTTTAGCCCAGGTCTACATTGCATTATTTAAATGTGCTACTAGATTAGCTCAGTTGGTTACAGTGTGGGCTAACACCAAGGTCCAGGGTTTGCTCCCTTTACCATCCAGCTGCCAAAAAAAAAAAGCAAATAAATGCTACTAAAAGATTCCAATAACTATGGTTTTCTAAAGTCAACTTTTGTTGATTTCTTTTGAATTGATGACCTTCATATAATGTTATTGGTTTGAGTATATTTGTTTGACTTTACAAAGGTTAGGCAGCATTTGCACAGTGTATTGAAATTTTCAAAGACTTTGACTTTAGGGTAACAACTTTCATTGTATCTTATGAACTAATGCTATTTTTACCTATAACAGTCAGCTCTTTAGAGTCTATATTTTTGGAAGGTATAATTCTGCAGCATATAATCATAAAATAATTTATCTTCATAATATCATATGGTTTCATTTGATTTCCATTTCCTATTTTTGTTTGGATAAGATAAAATTATTTTATATTCCAAGAGCATATTCAGATATCAGGCATTGGTAAAAAAGAGGCAAAAATGGTGTGAGATAGTATTGGAAAATCAGATTTTAATTTTCCATGATTAATTAACAGATAGTGTCAGAAAACAAAGTCTTAATTCTGGAAAAAAAAGTGATTTTTGTATTGAATTCATATTATTTTGCTGTTTGACAAGAATTGTCTAAAATATGAATTCTTAAATGTAGTAAAACGTCATTAATTAGAACTTTACTGCTACACAACATGTAAAAACTAAAATGAAATGTAAGTTTTAAACAAGATTTCAGGGAAACTAGCCATCTCAGAGAGAGACTTTGCCCTTTAAAAATATTGCTTGCTTACTAAGAGTGTAGTTGAAATAGAAGTGGGTTACATGGAAATCTGAATTAAAGCAGTAACGTTTGTTAATCCCTGATTATGTGCCATGCACTGGCGCTTAATATTTTGTTAGGCTACATACAATTGTAAGGCTCGGGAAGTAAGCAAAATTGCTTTTCTTTCTAAACACGCTTCTATTCATATTGATCATCGCTTTGTTCCAATTAATGAGGTTTTACTGTGTGCATCTCATTTGTGGCCTGGATTTATTTTCTAATAAACACCAGAAAGGAAACTTAACTTTTTAAAAACTGAATCACAAAAGTGTTTAATTTGTTGAACATTTGAGTAAATGGTATTTTTATGATTTTATTAAATTAGAGGTAAAATAACTTTTGTATTACAAGGTATTTGGAAAATCATTTTTGTAATAAAAATGTAAATTATAAACTGATACAGACTTGAGGGAGTATATAAAATTGGCAACAGAAGAATATATACATTTCTTTTTCATTTTTCATCTTTAGGTATAATACTATGCACAACAGTATTATAAAAGCAGAGGGTGACGCTCCAAATTCTCTTGGTCTAGGCAATATTCATAATCAATTTTGTAAGTAGATGATGTATTTTCATTACTACATAAATCCCAAGGCTTTTATGTTTTAATTTTAGCATCTGAAAGCTTTGTAGATTGTAAGAGGCTCTGAATGCCTGTGTTTGGATTTTAGTTTCACTGAGAAAAGATAAATTGGAAAGTATTTGAATGGTAGGGCAAGTGATTTTAAATAAATTGTATTTTTGTACCGGTCAGCAGCAAAAAAAATTTCAATAAGGTAATACCTCATTATTTTGTCATAATATTTATTCTGATTTGATTTTTAAAGCCACTTATGTGAGCCCTCGAAAAGTAAACATCTCACCAAACTTTTAATTAGACTACATGTTTTATAATCTTTTAAAAGTGTAAATCAGATCCTATGATTTCCTTGCTCAAGATCCTCTAATGGCATTCCTCATAATAAAAATCCAAAGTCTGGCTTGGTCTACAAAGTCCTACTTAATCTAGTCTCCGCCCATCTCTCCAGTTTCAGTTACCACTTAACCTGTTTACTCCTGTGTAGACATAATGGACTTCTTGCCATTTCTTAATCTGTTAACCTTCTTACTACCTAAGATCTTTTACTCTTGCTGTTCCCTCTGAAATGTTGTCTGTGTCTCTGTATGGCTTATATTTTCTTTTCATTCAGGTCTCTGCTTAATGTCACTTCCTCAGAGGAGGAGTTTTTCTCTAGACATCTATTCTCGTGACCTCATTCTGCTTCATATTTCTTTATAGTGACATTGTTTCATATAGTTCTTTTTCTCTTTCTACTGCAGTGTAAACTCTGAGGTCAGAAACATTGTCTGTCTTATTTACACTGAATTGCTAGTACCCCAAATAGTGTCTGGCGATACCTATGATGGATATGGGCAATTGGATATTTGTTTTGGTCCATTCCTCACTGAATTTATCTTTCATTTAATTTTTTTCTATTAGAGAAATTATGCAATAGGCCAGAAACTCAAATCAAATTACTTCTGGCTTACTTTGAAACTTCAGCATTTTATAGGTTGGGTAGACAAGAATGAAGTAGAGGACAGAAATAGGTATATCAGGAGAATTGTGGGGACAGAAAAGACAAGAGATGAGTGTTTTTATGAAGGAGTGATTAACAGTGTTAACGTTGCGGTGAGGTTGAGATAAGAACTGAGAGGTGTTAGTTAAGTTAACAGCATGGAGGTAATTGATTGCCTTAGTGGAGGTACTTCAGTGTGTGTTGTGTGTGGCAACCAGACAGATAGTTGAAGAGTAGTTGAAGATAGATGGGAGGCAAGGAATTGAAGATTGCTAGTGTAGATCATTCTAAAGTAAACTGTAAAGGGGAAAGAAGGTGATAATAGTGGGTGGGGGAAAAGGAGGATCCCTCTGTCCTTTTCCTTTTTTAAGATGGGAGAGATTTAAGTATTTAAATACTAATGGAAAGGATTCAGAAGAGGTTCAAGAAACAACGGAATAATGCATAATCTAAGATTTCTGAATAGGCTGCAGGGAGTCGGATCCGGAGTATAATAACATGAAGGAAAGTGGAAAAGGTATTCAGATGCAGGTAAGTTTATAAATTTGATGTTGGAAAGCTGAAAGGAGAATTCTGTCTTGCAGCTATTGTTTACTTTGTAAAGTGGGCAGGAAGTGGGGCCATCTAGTATAAGCCAAAGGGGGCAATGGTTTTGTTTTGACTTCTATGATTGGGTGGATGGTGAAGCCATTAATACAAAAAGGATTCTATAAGAGGAAAACATTTTGGGTGGGTAGGGAAAAATAATGACTTGTAACATCTTATTTAGAAGAAAATCCCAATGCCTCATCTGGTCAGTGTTCATCTGACTTTCTTTGCCACTCCCCGTTGCCAACTCTGCTTCAGCCGTACTAGCCTTCTGATACTCAAACATGCCCAAGTTTATTCCTGCCTTAGTCTCTGCACTAGCTGTAGTTTCTGCTTAGATTGCTCTTCTCCTAGGCTGGCGGGCCTGTTGACATTTGATTCCCTGCTTAAGTGTCAGTCACTTCTTCAGACACCCAATACCTAACCTAAAATAATCAAATCACCCAGTCCTAATATTTTGCAGAGTACTTCTCACTTCCCCTCCACCCCCCTTATTTGCCCCAACTCCTGGAATGTAAGTTCCACATCAACAGGGATTTACTGTTCATCGCTGTACAGCTCCTATAACAGTTCCTGGTACCCAGGAGGCATTTAAATATAGACCCTTAAATAAAAGTGAATGAACAAAACTTTTCACAGCCACTCTGAGGGCAGGGTCTGCAATATGGCAAAGATGTGTCTGGAAATGCACCAGCGCACTTTTATTAACAAGTGCAGGGCCAGATATTAGTTGAGATGTCTGTCTTCTGAAAATCAGATGAAATAGCCTTGAATTCTGTCTCCTGTGTTTGGACAGATTGCTCCACACTTTCAGGAATTAGAAGGGAACTTGGCCTTCAGCTGATCATCAAAACCTGTAGAGCAGATGCTGCAAGGAAGAAAGTATGTACAGAAAAGCTTTATATGGAGGAAAGACTTTGGGAGGTGGTCCACAATTGAGTTCAAAAGAAAGAATAAGGGAAGATTTTCAGTTCATCAGGGGAAAACCCCATAAAAAGTAGTGTTTCAGAAGTCAGAGGGAAAGAAATTTTGGAGGATATGTTGGGGAAGATCAAAAATCTTAGAGTGAGACTGAAAGCTATTGTCTTTGATTAGGAGGAGGCAGGATTTAAGAGAAGGTATTAATAGAAACTACATTTTATCTAGAAATATTTAACTAGGAGATAAAAGACGTTGGTTTGGCTCATCTGTTTTATCACAAAGTGACTAGGCTTCTGGACAAGTCAGTTTATCCTCTCTGAGCATCAGCTTTCTCACCTGAATGTAGGAATAAAAATAATCTCTGCTAATCTTAAGAGTGTTGTTATGACGGTTGGAGAAGATGATTATGATGGATGTGCACTGTGAACT